CGAGACCCCGAGGAAGTGGTCGAGCCCTCGGCCTGACCCCCGGCTAAACCAGAAGTGCCCCCGGTCTTCTTTTTCAGAGGCACCTTCCTCAAGGGAATGTTGAAACTGGGAGCCTCTGCACAAACGCACCAAGCAGAACAAAACCATCATTAGTATTTACCCCGACAAAGAAACAAATACACGGAGACACTCAAATTAACTGATCGAAGATCACCTGGGTCATTATCGAGTCGAACGAGATCGAGGATCTCTTCGGTGGGTGGAGAAAGGGTTTTATGAGTGAGGAGACCGCAGAAATAGAGAAGATTCTCGTCCTGAAGGAGTTTTCCAGACGCAACGGTCTTGGAATTCCAAACATGGATCCGTTGGTCGAAGAGGGGGTTTGACGGAGGGGCTGATGCTGCCTCCTTAGAAACATCCTTGACCTAAGGAATGGAAGGCCAGGGCAAGGGGACGTCGGGTCGAATAAAAATGAATTTATCACTCCACCCGGGAAGGTTGGAGGGGATGTCGTTGATGAAATGCGCACCATTGCGACTTTTCAGATAAAGACCCCGGCCTAATTTAGAGGGGCAGTAACAATAGTGGAAGAAGTCTAGGTCGAATCGACCCAGACGGACGCGGCAGAGAATGATGAAGGTGGTGATAAAACGGATGGCATTAGGAGGAAGTTGGTGTAAGGAAAGCGAGAACCACTCGCAGATGCAGATTATATCGGGGCTCAAATGAAAACGTAACCCAAGCTTGAACTGGACCTCGAAGAAAGGATAACAGTCTCGCGGGGGATTATCATATCGGTCGGAAGGGGAAGACCTAATGAATGCCCAACCAAGAGGTTGGCCAATTTTATCGGGATAAAACCAGGGGTGAGATAGAGAGGTAGAAGATGGTCGTTTGGAAAGCTTCTTGGTCGAGGACTGCTTGGGTGGAGAATTCGAAGAAGGAGGAACGGTTGAGGATGCGGGAAAAGTGGGCTGAGAAGAAATAACTTCGTCTTCCTCAGGCTCATCCATCGAGCCAAAAGCAGGGCGGCGGCGACGAAGAGGGATATTATCCATGGAATCCCCTGAATTGGGAGAAGCAACAGGAGCAGTGAAAACGCGGGTAGGGACGGTATCACCAGGACGAAGAATAGAGAGGGGAACAGCTTCAAGGGCGGACGACAATATTTCGACTGAACCAGAGGAGGTGGTCGAGGTAGCAGGATCTGAAAACAAAAGAAGAAAGAAACAATATCAAAAAAGAGGAATAGGGTAGGCGGAGAAGATTTTAGAAATTAGGGTTCCACGAAAAGGGGCTATTTTGAAGAAAGGGAACAGAGATTCCGAAAGGATTTCAAAGGGGAAGAGCTAAATCTACAGCGGCCAACAGACAAACACAAAATTCGATGCACAGATTCAAAACACTCAATCAGCAAACTTCGGATACCCAATTCGAAAAAGAAAAGAGAGAAAAAATTCCTCAAAATACAAAATCCCAGACACAGGAAATATAAAATCAGGAGAACTACAACTTACTCATAATCACGGAGGAGAGAATCAGGAAAAAGCTTGAAGATTGCAGGAAAATTCGCCGGCGGAGGCTAGGATTTTTGCAGGGAGAACTTTGAATGCAAAGGAATTTGGGGAAGACGAAGGTGGAAAAAGTCCGAAATTTCGCTAAGTACTGGTTTTATACTTGGGGAAAATTAAAAGGGGAAGAAAGAAGACCGTCGGATTAAAGCTAGATCGTGCGGCGGGGATATTAAATGGCACGGTACTCCAAGCGGGCGCGTTAGGCGAGGGGGCGTCATCATTAAAGCATCTGACAC